GACTGAGTTTGAGATGTGTGCTGAAATGCTTTGCAGGTGGATACAACAGAAGTACCGGATTTCACGACGATGTACGAGTTGTATGACCCTGTGACAGTAATGTTTTTCTATCGGTGCGTCATTTGCTTTATTTGTTTTTTTTTCTGTTTCAAGATGCAGCTTGAGTCGGTGTTTACTGCTACGGGCTCCTGAGGAGGGAAGAGTCGAAGGAGAGAAGAGAAAAGCTGCAAATGAATGGTTGTTTTTTGCCGTCTGCCTTCGCTGACTGTGTGCAGGAATAAGCATATGATGATTGATTTGGGAACAGGGAACAACAACAAAATTAACTGGGCTATGAACAACAAACAAGAACTGATAGATATCATTGAGTGCATCTACAGGGGAGCCAGAAAAGGTACGTGCAGCAGCAGCCCCTATACCTTCTCTGTTTAAACCACAGGGTTTAACATTTATGTCTTTTCGTGCGTTTATTTATCTGTTTTTCTTTGCAGGCCGCGGTCTCGTCATCTCCCCCAAGGATTACTCCACAAAATACCGCTACTGAGCACTGCAGCGTGCGGTGCACATCTTTGGATTTTTCTCTTCTGAACATCAATAATATATATATATATATATATATATATATATATATATATATATATATATATATATATATATATATATATGTCAATGCATCTATTTATCTATAACTACCTATGCATATACATATATATAAACTACTAAATATATGTACATGTACATAGTTAGCAAAACTAATTGTGTAATGTTGAATAGAGTGGGTGTTTAATACCCCCCATGAAACTGCTGTATAACGCAAGCACCCCGCTTCTGCAGCGACGGATGTTTCCTGCGCTGCGGTGTTTTCTTGCCTCTTTCTTATTCGCCTTTGTTTGCTTTCTTGAGAGAATACAACAAACTTTATAAAACCGAGCTCAGAGCCTTTCTGGTTTTTGTCTGAACCTCTGCTGCCATCTGCAAGGCAAGGCGCTACTGACGTCTTAATAGAGGGAGCATATTCTATTCTTTCTTATCTATTCTTTTTTGGCTTTATTGCACTGGTAA